AGAAAAGGCCGATAAAATAAACAAGACCTATGAGGATATGAAAAGGGATCAACTAGAAATAATAAGGGATCAACAAGAAATAAAGAATACATTGTCTGAAATAAAAAATATTTTATGGAGTCCTAAAAACAGAATGGAAGATTGCAAGAATCAAGCCAAAGATTTGGAACATAAAGAGCCAGAAGACACTCCTCCGCAGATGCAAGAAGGCCAGAGAATCCAGAAAGTTGAAGATAATGTAAGAAACCTCTGGGACAACTTCAAGCGAACCAACATCAGAATTATGGGGGTCCCAGAAGATGGGAGAGAGCAAGATATCGAAAACATACTGAAAGAAATAGTGACAGAAAACTTTCCCCACCTGGTGAAAGAAATAGACTTACAAGTCCAGGAAGTCCGCAGAACTCCAAACAAAAGGAATCCAAAGAGGACCACACCAAGACAAATCATAATTAAGATTCCAAGAGCAAAAGACAAAGAGAGAATATTAAAAGAAGCAAGAGCAAAGAAGGTAGTTACCTATAAAGGAGCACCTATATGATTGTCAGCTGATTTCTCAACAGAAACCATGCAGGCCAGACGGGAATGGCAAGAAATATTTAAGGTGATGAATAGCAAGAACCTACAGCCAAAGATAATCTATCCAGCAAAGCTATCACTCAGATTCGAAGGTCAGATAAAGAGCTTCACTAATAAAAAAAAGCTAAAGGAGTTCATCACCACCAAACCAGAATTATATGAATTGCTGAAGGGGGTTCTTTCAGAAGAGAAAGTAAATAAAGATAAAAATTATGAACAACAAATACGTAACTATCAACAAGTGAATCTAAAAACCAAGGAAACTAAAAAAAAAAAATCTGAGGAACAATATTAACTGTTGAATATAATAGAATCAGAGGTATGGAAGGGGAGTGAACTGTTTATTCTTGGGGAAAAGGGGAGAGGGGGATGTGGGAAGAGACTGAATATAAACTGTGCACCTATGGATGAGGACAATGGGGGGTGGGGAAAGGGCAGAGGGTGGGGTGAGAAGGGGGGGGAAGGAACATTTGTAATAATATGAACAATAAAAATTTATTTAAAAAAATGGATCTCTTTTAGAATATATATATATATATATATATATATATATATATATATATTCATATTCTGTTGAATGGGCACCACGTTTCTTTCAACTCTGTTTTAGAGACTCCTTTCCCCCACATTCACACATACAATGATACACAAAGGTAGCACGTATTTAATATACATGTTATGGAGGAATATCACCTCTCCTGGTAATAAGGGTGGCTGAAAAGTGATACAAATGAGAATGGCAATAGGTTATAGAAAAATATTTAGTTTGAAGTTATAATTTTCTAGGAATTCAAGAGATGGGAATCAAACACTGAGAGACATTACCAACTATTATTAAAGGGGGCGGGGAGTGGGGACATCAGAGAAATGGTGGAGTGACAGTGCTCCTTATCCTGTCACCCTGAAATTTCAACAAGTTAACCAACTATAATTTAACAAAGAAATCCCTGCTCTACACAGATCAAGGCCCGAGAGCCTCACACACGGAAACATCTAAAGGTGAGCAACCTGGAATAAACAGGGAGAGAAGAAGGGAGAAAAGCACAGATCCTGCAGCCCAGAGCTTGCAGTCCGGCTGGCTGGGAGTGGAGAGAAGCCTGGCAGCAGCAGGCGCTTTCTTGGGCCAGGAGGAAGAGAGAGCTGCAAGAGGGGTAAGGAGCTGAGGGGGAAGGCAGTCCAGCAGGGCGAGGAGCAAAGGAGCAAACAGTCTCAGTCAGCAGATGCCTGACAGAGCAATGGGTTCTAGCTCTCCACTGTCAGCTGGGTGGTGGTGTTCCAGACAAAGAAATCAGGAGTCTAGACCTCTGGGTCTCCCATGAGGGAGAGATATTGTTCAGATTTCAGGGAAAGTGATCGGTGTTTCCCTTTCTGAGAACTATTCCAGCAACGGAATAGCTCAGAATATTACTCTGCCCACAGCTGGGCAGAGATCCCCATATGCAATCCAGCGGGTTCAGCCAGAAACCCGGAGTTTTTATCAGCTCTCCCTTGTGAGGAAAGCACCAGACGGGTTCCCAGGATAGTGGGTTGGATAGTCCCACCCCCAACCCACCCAGAGACAGATGCTCCCTGAAACTTTTCAAACTTGTAGGCTTGGCCCCTTTCGCTATCTCCTTTGCGAATGTCAAGATGCAGTGTGTGGCAGGCAGGGATCCTAATAGTGGGGCAGGCTGTATCACCTAGGATTTTTTTTTTTCTTTTGCTGTGCTGAGGCTACTAGGAGTGGCTAGCTCTTCCCCATCCCCCACCCCCCACTTTTCCCAACCTAGCCTTTCTTTAGGCACCTGGAGTCTGAACCACAGTCTCTACATCAAAAGCCTCTGGTGAGTAGCTGCAAATGAAATCTGTGTTCTAGAGTAAAACACACACACAAACTATATATATATATATATATATATATATATATATATCCTGTTTCCCCGAAAATAAGACAGTGTCTTATATTAATTTTTTCTCCCAAAGTTGCACTAGGTCTTATTTTCAGGGGATATCTTATCTTTCCATGTGCTAGGTCTTATTTTCAGAGGATGTCTTAGTCTCGGGGAAACATGGTGTGTATATGTGTGTGTGTGTGTGTGTGTGTGTGTGTGTGTGTGTATATATATATATATATATATATATATATATATATATATATATATATATCTGAGGCTTTCTATCTGTCTCCTGGTCTACCAGCTCCAGACTCCACAGCAGCCAGCAGCCCTGCCACCTTTCATAGATGGGTGTTAAGTAGGTCACTGGTCTTGGCTCTGGTGCTCCCAGCTGTGGAGCCCACCCTGGGTTCTGGGTCTCTATCTTAAGTAAAACACCCTCCCGTAGTGATTCCTCCTCATTCATGGATAGGTCAGCCCCTCTTGCAACCTCACCCTTCCTACCAGTCTCCAGATGTTTTCTGTCCTTCCTTGATGTTCCTCCTCTTCAGCTGGACTTCAGCTGAAGAAGTCTAGTTTTCTTTGCAATCTGACTCTGGGAGAAGGTTCAAGAAAAGTTTGCCTATTCAACCACCATTTTCTGAGCCAAATGTAGTAATTTTCAAGGCATAGTACAGACTTATTTTCTTTTTTCTAATATATTTTATTGATTTTTAACAGAGAGAAAGGAAGAGAGATATAGAGAGCTAGAAAAGTTGATGAGAGAGAAACATTGACCAGCTGCCTCTTGCACACCCCCTACCGGGGATGTGCCCGCAACCAAGGCGCATGCCCTTGACCAGAATCGAACCTGGGACCTTTCAGTCCGCAGACCGATGCTCTACCACTGAGCCAAACCGGCTTCGGCCAGACTTATTTTCTATGACCATTTGGCTTCTGTCAACAAATACACTTTAAAAAAAAAAAAAAAAAGATGCACCTTCTGTACCTCAGGTCTTTTATTCTAAACCAGCTCAGAGCTATGTAAAGGATCTGGTAAGGTCAGGAAAATTTTAATCACAGCTGGGTTAGGATTTCTGGACCTGAGATTCTGGGCTCTTGTTTCCTTCTGAAGTCTCTGTAAAACGACCTTAGCTAGGAAAGGTAACTCTCGTAGAGGGCAATGGCACCAGTGGGGAAAGACAGGTTAGCTACAGAACAGTATATACATTGTCCTAGCCACTGTACAAGGTAGACATTTTAATAAACAGAGTTTGATAAGTCTCAAAGACTACATATGGCTTTTGTTTATAGAACGGTATTCTTTATGAAAGCACTCTGCTCCTTTTCTGTTTTTTGTTGTTACCAAAAAACACACAACATAATTCAATACATACAACTGTATGACTGAATGTTTTCCACTCATTTAGGAGCTGTTTTATGATATTTCAAATTTGAGATGAAAATAAAACTTTTTAAAATAAAGCCAGAGTAATGATTATATCTGTTTAATTACTTATATGTCCACATTCCCCTGTCATATGCTATGGGATTTCTTCCTGCCAGGTGAAAATGCTTAAATTTTTATATATTTTGTTTCAATAAACTTAATAACCAACAGATATTTGGAAAATGTAAGGTGTCCAGTTATCACAATATTTGATGGCAGGATAGCATGAACATATGCACAGAGCTGAGAAGTGTCATTGACAATTTTTCCATCAAGTGAAAACTTCATTTTTCTTTGGGACTAATCACATTCTTTGAGGTTGTATGAAATATTGGTTGTTTGAGAGAACATAGTTTGTTAGGTTTAATTGAGGGAAATATAATGAAATGCATGTGTTTAGTTAAATGATATGGATTTACTAGTCAATTCCCTAGAAAAATAAGGAAAAAAAGGCAAAAGTGAAAAAATGGTTGTCAAGTTTCATTCTTCAGTTAAATTTACATTCACTCCAAATTATGAGGTAATTCTGGGAGTTGCTGGGGAAAGAAATATTAATTACACATTTTGAAAAAAAAATTAAAAGAGTTCTGGCTGTTTCCCTGTCATTTTTGGATATATAAATAGTTTCGTTTTAAAATCTCTCTCTCTCTCTCTCTCTCTCTCTCTCTCTCTCTCTCTCTCTCTCTCTCTCTCTCTCTCTTCTCTCTCTGTCTCTCCTCTCTCCCCTCTCTCCTCCTCTCTCCTCCTCTCTCCTCTCTCTTTCTCCTCTCTCCTCTCTCCTCCTCTCTCCTCCTCTGTCCTCCTCTGTCCTCCTCTCTCTTCTCTCTCTCATACATTGTGAGATTGAACTCCCCTTCCCTCCTCACTTTGAAAAGGAAAAATAGGGGCGCTGACTGCGAGGCCCCGCACTGGGCCGCCCTCCCCCTGGCGTCCGCCGGGATGGGCACGTGCGCCCAATTCCGCCCAGCGCCAGGCCCGCAGCGACGCCTGGAGGTGAAACCGAGCCGGTGCTGGAGGCGGGCTCGATTGAGGCCCTGTGTTTGTTCCGTGGTCCCTGAGAAGGCGAGGCGCTGGGCTGCGGGGCGGGGGGTGGGGGGGCGGGGGGGCGGGCAGGCGGGATGGCCGATGCGCCCAGTGGCTCCCCCAGTGGCTCCGGCGGAGTGACCGGCGGTAAGACCGCCCAAAGACCTACCGGGTCTACCTCAAAGCCACCGCGCTCCAACAGCCAGTGCGTGTTCTGCCGGATCGTGGAGGAGGAGGACACCGAGTTCCTGTACTGTGAGGATGAAAATCTAGTTTGCTTTAAAGATATTAAACCAGCAGCATCTCATCATTATCTTGTGGCGCCAAAGCAGCATATTGGAAACTGCACAGAGCTAAAGAAAGAGCAAATAGGATTTGTTGAGAACATGGTTACTATTGGAAAAACCATTCTTAAAAAGAATAATTTCACTGACTTCACAAATGTGAGAATGGGTTTTCTTATGCCACCATTCTGCTCCATTTCCCACTTGCACCTTCATGTCATAGCACCAGTCACTGAGTTTGGCTTCATATCAAAATTGATTTATAGACCGAATTCCTATTGGTTCATCACAGCTGACTATTTGCTTGAAAAACTAAGAACATCATAATGACAGCAGTGGAAGATTTTCGTATTCTTGGCTCAACAGAAACTGATATTTTGGCCCCTTTTAAATCAAATTACAATGGTAAGGTTTGTTGGGTTTTATAAGAGGCTATTACTGGGTAGCCTTAAGTCTTTTTTGAATGTCTGTTTCCTGAGATCTGTAATATAGTTATATGAATACTCTGCATTGACTTCTTTAATGGTTATTTGTCTAAGATATAAGATATTATAGATAAAATTTCATTAAAACAAATTCTGTTAATCAAGAAGAGCTCTGTATTTTTTAAAAGTTCAAGTATTTTCATTTCTCATTATTGTCATTTATAATAGTGATTATTATGAAGAATGAACGGGTATAGAAAGTACTTTGTTAGAGTTTTATTATGAAAGAGAAAAGATATTAACTATCTCTTGACAGTTGCATAATTTTGTACATATTTCAAAGTAAAGAGTACTGTATTACACACAAAAATAAAAATTAAAAAATAAAAATGAAAAATATTATATGTCATGTGGCAATGTTGAACTTTATCTGAGCTCTGTGCTTCCAGAAAGTATGGTCAGTTGAAAAATATTCCCACCCATTTGTGTTCCAAACAACTAACCATAAAGGACCACTCTGCCCTGGTACTTTTTGAGAACTGCCTCCATCCTTCAGATAAGGCTCACTGTCCAGTCTCTTCATGACTCCTTTGTGTAACCACCTCTGTAAATCTTAGCCTGCTCTTTCTTTTCTTTGAGATGTTCTCCCTGTTGCAATAGCCCGAATAATATTATGTCCTTAATTGTCCAGTGCATAGTGTCTTTGACAGTTTGGTGCAATGACTCAGATGGGATCCCTGTTTATTCCAACCCTGGTAACCGGGCATCTCAGAGCCCTTTTTGTGCTCTGTTCCTGACTGGTGATTGAGATATCAAATGGTAAAGCTGGTTCTTGGTCCTGTGTTCCAGATTCTTCTCCACTGATAACTGAGTAAAAATGTGGTTGTTTCTCAATACTTGCTTGATTTTTTATGCCAGCTATTTTGGTTTTATTTGTCTGACCATTCAGTGATCTCTGGAAATGGATTAATGTTACATGGTGATTTTGTTTCTGTTGAGTGAAAGATGGCAAATGATCTGTTTTGTTAATCTTTTCTGTTTATCTATCTATATCTATCTATCTATTATTGTTTGAAATATTACAAATAGTAGTACATATGTCTCCTTTTATTCCCCCGTTGACCTCCCCGCAACCTCCCCTACCCCCTAGTACATGCCCTCACCTACCCTCTCCCCCCCCCCCCCCCCCCCCCCCCCCCGCAGTGTCTTGTATCCATTGGTTATGCTTATATACATGCCTACAAGTCCTTCGGTTGATCTCCTAGTAGGGGTGTCGAACTCAATCAGAGAAGGGGCCAAAATCTAAAATCCAGCCTAAATCGCGGGCCAAATGGTTTACTGAACAGTCATAAACTGTCATTGTGATGGAAACGCAGCGGAGTGCAGTGATGACAGCGCGGTGCGGGCCACATTGCAAGGCCTGGCGGGACGGATTTGGCCCGTGGGCCTTGTGTTTGACACATGTGTTAAAACTCCCCTGCCTTCCCGCTATAGTTTGACATTCTGTTCAATGCTTCTTTACCTCTGTATCTATCCCCCCCCATTTCTTTCCTTTAAAAAATCTTGCCTCTGCAGACTAGAAATAATCTTATAATAACAAAAAATGTTTGAGTCCCAATTTCATTGTCCAACAGTTCTGTGTCCCCGTTTCAATGTCAAATAGTTTCTTATGTGTACATGTCAGCAATGATATCTGGATGGTGGGCACATGGTGGCAATGCAGGTCCGACCCTCTCTGGTTTGGACCTGGGCAACCTGCAGTGAAGCACAGCTGCTGACTGCTAGCATGGCTAGGCGTCGTTAGCGTCCTTCATCTTTGGACTGTTTCTCCTCTTGTCTTGGTGGTTGGAGCAGACCTGTCAATTCCTCTCTGTTGCAGGCATCCACATGGTCTTGGAGTTGTTTTCTGAAAATATACAAACATATTCTTGACCAAAAGTTAATAAAGGAAACTTTTCTATATAATTGATTTGGGATCCTTTTTATTTTTGCCCAAATGATTTTCCTTTGTCTTATTTAGACACCATGTGTGTTTTACATGGGTGTCTTGCTGTTAGTATTACAAATGAAAATTTTGTAAAGTAAAAATTTTCTAGATGTAATTTACTTATAGGATATTTTTCCTTACATGATATTACCCTATGATGCCCAGCTCAGATCAGGACACAAGCGACAGAAATTTGGCCCAGCTCAGATCAGGACACAGGTAATAGACAGAGACTTGGCCAACAGCAGCTGCCCTATATCTAAATCCAGCCTAGCACCAGGAATGCTCAGGGCCTACTCAAGAATGCAAATAATCCTTTCCACTAATATTTACATGGTAAACTAAGATTGTTGGTAGAGTATTAAATTTGACAGTAAAAAAGTAACCACGTTTTCAGATCAATTTAAATATGCTAATATAAATAAGTGAATATTCAAGAAAATTTAATTGCACTGGACAAAAAGCTGTTCCTAAAGTAGTAAGTAAAATTTCTATTGGGCCGAAACCGGTTTGGCTCAGTGGATAGAGCGTCGGCCTGTGGCCTGAAAGGTCCCGGGTTCAATTCCGGTCAAGGGCATGTACATTCGTTGCAGGCACATCTCCTGAATGGATTGTGCAGGAGGCAGCTGGTCGATGATTCTCTCTCATTGATGTTTCTAGCTCTCTATCCCTCTCCATTCCTCTCTGTGAAAAATCAATAAAAAATATATTAAAAAAATAATAGCCGAAACAGGTTTGGCTCAATGGATAGAGCATTGGCTTGGGGACTGAAGGGACCCGGGTTCGATTCCGGTCAAGAGCATGTACCTTAGTTGTGGGCATATCCCCAGTGGGGGGTGTGCAAGAGGCAGCTGATCGATGACTCTCTCTCATCGATGTTTCTGGCTCTCTATCTCTCTCCCTTCCTCTCTGTACAAAATCAATAAAATATATATTTTTTTTAAAAAAGCAAAAAATAATAATAATAATAATAAAATAAAATTTCTATTGGTAGTTCACCTCATGGTAAAATTCCTGAACATGCAATGAATCTAAAATAGTCATATTTTTGTGCAAAAAAATTAAAATTTAAAGTTATCAAGACTGTATTATAAAATTTACAAAAGCCTCCATCAATTAAAAAAAAGGGGGGGTTGTATATCTATTTTTAAAATGTGTTTTTCTTGATTTTCTAGAGAGAGAGGAAGAGAAGGAGAGAGAAAAACATCCAACTGCATCCTGCACACATCTTGACCTGGGATTGAATTTGCATGCTGGGTAACGCCCAGACTGGCAATAGAAATCATGATCCTTTGGTGCAGGGGAGGACACTCAACCAAAGGACCCACATGAGCAAGGGCTATTTATTTATTTTGAGCTCTAATCAATTACAGACTCTTACCCATTGAGAAGAGAATGGCTTTTGATGAGATAGATAAGTTTTGTGATGTGTTTACTCTTGACTCAGAGCTAAAATGGAATTGAAACTGTATGGTTTTTCTCTGTGTGTGATTGTTTCTGTCTGTAATTTGGAAAGGCTTTTATCTCTCTTTGTGTTTGTAATAGTTTCCTATCTCCAAATGTTATTACCAAATTGAGTTGTAAGCAATCTTGAAGATCTATTCTGATTGGCTTAGAGATAAATAAGTGCTTATATTATATAAAAGTAATATTCCTAAAATTTCCAGAAAATGAGGACATTGAACTTCCAATACTTTCAATGTGTTAAAAAATAAAAAGTAAACTTACAAATGTTTTTAGAATTAAGATTCACATAATTTAGGTAAATCTTTGGAAAATGAGGTTAGTTTAATATTTTTGGTTTAATAGAAACAGCTATGTCTTCTCTGGTAATCAGTGTTAAGTATAATATATGTTTAGATTTTTATTCTACTTGGATTATATTTTTCTTAAATTTATACAGGTTTGTTGATTGAATAAGCTAACATTAAGTCTGCTAAATGCTTAAGAGTATGAAAATTTAAATTTATGTTTAACCTAGTTGAATTATTATTCTGACAAACTTTATTTCAACCATAATTAAGTTTTATAGTGTTTGCCGAAACCAGTTTGGCTCAATGGATAGAGTGTCAGCTTGGGGACTAAAGGGACCCGGGTTCAATTCCGATCAAGGGCATGTACCTTGGTTGGGGGCATATCCCCAGTGGGGGGTGTGCAAGAGGCGGCTGATAGATGACTCTCTCTCATCGATGTTTCTAGCTCTGTATCTCTCTCCCTTCCTCTCTGTACAAAATCAATAAAATATATTTTTTTAAAAAGGAACTGAAAGGTTGCATTTAAAAAAAAAGTTTTATAGTGTTGGCAAAGATAATTTCTCAGATCTTTAGGTAACTTAAAAACTTTACTAATGTTAACTTAATTAATATATAGTGATTGGATGTTCACATCATTTGTAAGTATGAAGAATACTGAAAAATTGATTACTAAGCACAAGTTACAGTAAGTTTATATACTTTGATTCTTATTTTTATATACCATAGAGAAGCTAGATATTTGGGTCTGTTAATGAATGTGTTTATCGTAACCTCTTTGAGAAGTTGTATAAAGGTTATATGTTGCTGTATAAAGCTATGTTGTATGTATCCATGAGCTCTGTTAGTCTGCCACAAAAAGATGCTAGTGTGTGACAGTTCACAATTATCAACCTCCTAGTTTTCTCCACAAAATAGGCATTTTTTAGTTAAAAGTTAAAATCAGGCCTGGTTGCTGTGTCTCAGTGGTTGAGCGTTGACCTATGAACCAGGAGGTCATGGTTTGATTCTGGTTAGACAGGGCACATGCCTGGGTTGTGGGCAGATCCCCAGGAGGTGGCATGTTGGAGGCAGCTAATCAGTAATTCTCTCTCATCATTGATGTTTCTAACTCTCTCCCTCTCCCTTCCTCTCTGAGATCAATAAAAATATATTTTTTAAAAGTTAAAATAGGTATAAATAAATAAGACTCTACTGAAAGCAACAGTGGCAGAGAGGTTCAATTTTATATGCAAGTTACCTCAGATGTGCTTCGATCAAGGTATAAGAAGTGTAGTGTGTCCTAAATTAAAATATTTTTACCAGAATGAAACAAAGCAAACTATAGGACAAAAACTGGGTGGAAATAGAAAGTTGTAGTAGAGAGTTTATGGAAAGTTAATTTTATTTACCATAAACAAAGCTGACTAAAATTTCAAGGGAACATTCATGGTAAATTTTGTCTCAGGATTATTGTTTACATCTGAAGATTGTTTTTCTGAAGACCATGTTAATCCATTTAAAAGTAATAGCTCTATTGAGACGTAATTATTACTTTAGCCATTTTAAGATAATGC